AATTCCAAAATTAACACATTGAATTTCTCTCGTGGTACGTTATTTTCACCGTTCCACCGATTCAACGTGAAATTTACAGAGCTTCCTCCATCCTCCCTGCTTAAATAACTATAACGACAACAACGTGACACATATTTCCTCGTATCCTACATGCGGAACGTCGAAACGTGCACGTTTACCTCGATCTTTCAATCTACCCGTGTCTTGAATGGCCATTGAATCGCACATAACCAGCAGTTCAACGGGAATCATCGCGAAACGTCTCGGGTTTTATCCAGGCTTCGAGCTGCGTCGGAGAACGGCCGATTAACCGAGTGCATGCGTGTAAATTTGACATTATCTTATCCGCGGGCGGCTTACAACGCGTGTATATTATCGTGTCGCGCGAGGGCTCTCCCATTCTGTAAACAGATGCAGGATGATACACAATCTGCCGTGTCGATTGTGACATCACGAAATTACCGAGTGATGCCAAGTGTGAAATTTCATTTTATTATGCACATGTCGCGTTGTTATCACCGACTGCGCCTATGGCAATGTCCGTTTGATCACGTTCGAGGATATTACATACGTTGATGTGATTTTGGGCGACGTTAGAAAATGACTATTTTGCATTTTCTGAGTAGACGTTGAGCAAATTTATGAAATTTTACAGGATTTTCTGTTAAAAAAGAGAAGAAACAATCCTGTTCCTAAAGTATGCGCACTGGTCCCTCGATTAATCTTAATTGATTAAAATTTGGAAAAGAAAATTATCCAGAAAGAAGCTAACAATGAAACTGAAATAGAAATGGCAAATATTTCAAGTGATGAGGATAGTGACTTCGAGCAAATTAAAAAGGAAAGGGTTCACTATCTTCAAGTACAGTTTTCTGAACTTTCATATTTCTCTTTCTTTGAAAATTTGAATATTTTTCCAACTTTCGTTATCTCTTTTCTTGTGAAAATTTCACAGTTTTCTGAATTTCCGTCGTTCCTTTTTCCGTGAAAATTCCTGAAATAAATATTTTCATAACTCTATCCTTCCTCTCAAGTATCTTTTTTATACTCATTTACGCGTAAGAAATTTCATCCGCAAAAAAAAGGCCACACGAAACGCATACTTGGCGTAAATCAAGGGACCAGTGTATTCTCCGAGCACTATTCTCTGATTGCTCTGCTAAAACACAGGATGTCCCAGTTATCACGGTGCAACTGTATCAGACAGTAAAACTGTAACTTTTCGAATACGACAAAAATTTATTCTCGGAGAAGTCGATTTCAAAAAATTCATCGCACCGGCTATTTTCTCCGCGAATTAGGGTATTATTCAAGAAGCGGGACGAGCGGGAGGAACGTGTTCGGTGCGAGGTGAGAATCGATTCCGACGTATCGTCCACGCGATTACGATATTAATTCTCGCTGGATCATTTTTCAACGGCGAAAACATGTTTGCCACATGGTCCGTACTAGGCCACAACTTGCGACGATCACACGGTAATCGATAATCTTCACTCGAATGAGTCACAATTGGCCAGGTGATCGAGATCGAGGAGCTCGATCCATGGCGAACTGTACACTTTTCTGCAGCTACTTGCGAGAATTTTTTCTCGCATCAATGAGTTTAACTCTTTCGCGACTTATTTTTTGGAAGAATTTCTTGTTTATCTACAAATTATCAGGTTTGTAATGGATATTGAATTGAGACGAATTTTTGTTCGAGTACGCAAATGCGAAAGGGTCACGAAACGGTTAATGATAACAATTAAAATCCATCCTGATGTTATTTCTGTTTATACTCGTATCGTTTGTAACCGATTTTTCTTCGTTCCTGAGAAAAACAATTGCCGATTACAATTTTATGTATAGATGGGAAGAGCAAGAACGAATGATTATCATAAAGAAATTGATTGGTAATAGTGTAGTAATATAATGCAATAGTATAGCAATCAAGAAATAAAATGGGACTTAAGAAAAATAGATAAACAGATACTTACGTTAACAATGTTCGTTACAATGTGCGTTACAGAGATTTGATAAAGTCATAAAAAAAAAAAATGATGATCAATTATCATTTCTGCAAAGTGGCAAATTTATTGGAATTTTCAAAGGTTAAATAAAATCATAAAAAAAAGTGTTAATCAATTATCGTGCAATTTAAATTAAAAAATAAAATTGAACGTCCATTAAATTGTTCTTCTGTTACAAGATTAAAAACAGTAATTAATCTGGACGTTTTCTATAATTATTTACACAAGGATCTAATAAATAAACGACAACAAGTGTACTCGATTTTTACCCTATTGAATGGAACACGTTTACCATGTTGGAATGCGTAATAAATTGAGCGTAATGAAAATATACGATTTCATTGAGGAAATTGAGGTTGACAGCTAAGTATGCGCAACGTTGTGAACGTGTAAACATTGTTTACATTTTCCCCGTTTCAAATCGAACAATTTTACCGCGCTCCCACTAACCTAAAAAATGTTTCATTTCAACAATCGTTTCAATACATTTCCCAAAAAGTAAATCCGTATTCGTAGACACTGAAGAACGTTCGAAAAATTACAATGGAACGTGAAGCAAGACCAGAGAAAAAACAAACTCGACCTTACTTTAGGCAATAACTTCGCCACTCGGTCGATACAGTAGAATCCGCCTTGCGGCAGATAATTGAATTAATAAGACAGTCGTGTGGCGAACGTAAAGATAAATCGGTTCAATACGTTTCGCCTAAAAGACGGACGTTTCGCTAGCTATCACAATGTAAACAGAACGTATCATCGAGTTATGCAATGGAACAGCGGGCCTGGTTACAATAGCGGTGCAAAATATCGAATTTCGTGCCTCGAGCGTAGTATATACGCATACAGTTCAGCGACAACAGAACACGACGAGGAATAAACGAATCACAGTGTCTCGCGGTCGCTGCATTATGTCAGCTCGGCAGAGAAGCCGGGACACGTGAAACAAAGATAACGTATACGACAAAGGCGTATACAGAGAGAATGTATGTATCGTATGTGTTTTGTATGTGTATGTGTGTGAGAGAGATGATCGCCCAGACAATTCACAAAAAGCATCGAAAGTCGTCGATGATCAAAAGCCCGAGATTCTTTTTTTTTTTTTCTATTCTTTCTTTTATTTCGTTTTTCGTTCTTTTTTGTGTGTATTCTTATCGCACGTATCTTTCCAAGGTCGCCGTTGCGAAGATTTCTCTTAAGATCGATTATGTAATACGCAATGCTACGTAAATACAGCGCTTCGGGATAGTATTTCGTTTTGTGTTTTCATTGAAACATCGAGGAATGTGACGTAGTTTATTTTTACTTCTTTCTTTTAACGAAAGCTTAGGTATTGAACTGCGAGCGTGTGGTATATCACGATCGGAGTTGAAAGCATATAAATCGATTAGTATGCATCGGTGCGGTTGGATTTTTCTTCGAGCTGGATGTCGAAAGTGCCGGTTTCCGTACGCGATTTTATCGACTCGACAATTAGAAAGACGCGACACGTCACCCGCGGTGTTTAACCGCGCGAGATAGGTGTGTTTGAACAGAAGGTACACGCGACGTTGATAACAACGTTAAATTGACTGTTTAAAAAACGAACTATTCGATACACGAGAATTGAAAGTTTTTTCTTTTTCTACAATCTCGTCTACTAACTCTAATTTCTCAATATTTGCCTCCTTTCGATTCTGTTACACGCTAAGAACGGGTCAAACATTGAACTTGTCGATACACTCCGAAAGGATTGAATAGGAGGGGGAGAGGACGTGATCGTAATTTTCTGTTGCGGGCAGTTCAATAGAATCTCTCTGGAGTGTTTGTCGAACCAGCTGCCTCTAACAAACTTCGCAAACAGGGTTAAAAAGCAAGAGTTAACTCGGTTCTCTTTTTTTTTTCTCTTCCTCTCAGTCGCACAGCTTGCCAAATGTTGCTCAACACTTGACACTTTAAAATCTTGCGAATTATTTCGCAAACAGCTGGTTCAACGAGAACGGCGGCCAGTGAGTTTCTGCGATTCCAGGAAGAATGAGTTAACGCGTTCGTTGCGTCGACAAGCGACATGTTTGCGTTTAGCGCAATTTTCACTGATTCCGAGATCATTATTTCTACGCTGGTTTAAAGTTCATCGCGGAATTTCAGATTTCTTTTTACAGAATAATGTAAGATATTTATTGAAGATTTGAGAATTTATTTGATCGACGAAGGCGTATTTTTAATTTGTGAAAAATACTTGGGGAGAAAGTATGAATAATAAGAAAATTATATTTGTAATATTTCAGGATATCGTTAAAAATACGAAGATAACGAAGAGGTTAGGTAAAGATAAAGCGATTCAATTTATACGAAATTATAAAACTACGTATTATTGAAATTAATCATCGAGTCTCAATCGTAATCGTGAACGATGTTTACATAAGCATATATTTCACGTCTGTTCGTCAATTTTAAATTCCAGTCTACTTTTCTTCGAACCGAGGCAATATTAATCAGAAAGACTCGACTCGACTTTTTTGAAATTTCAAATTTTTCTCATTTACACAAATTATGGACTTTTCTGAAATGTCAAATTTCTCCCTTTAAACAAATTATAGATCTCTTTGAAATTTCAAATTTTTCCCCATTTACACAAATTACATACCTTTTGGAAATGCCAAATTTCTCCCATTTCGACAAATTACGGATTTCATTGAAATTTCAAATGTTTCCCATCACCCAAATTACAGACTTTCCCAAAATTTCCAATTTCTCCCACTCGCGTAAAATAAGAAAACTACGTCTCGTTAAAATTAATCCTGAAATCTCAACAATAATCTCGATCGAAGTCGGCGCAAGCGCACATTCGACATCTTCGCCCGTAAACTTCAAAATTCCCCAATTTTCCCCGGGATCGTGACAAAATCGATCACAAAAAAAAAAAAAGACTCCATTCGCCTTTTTTAAAATTTCACATTTTTCCCATCTAACACAAAGCGACCTTGGAAAAGATAGCGTACGCGGAAGCTGTACCTCGGCCGAGGTAATCGGCGAGTCGAAAGTATGGCCCACCTCTGGACACGCGAGGGGGTAAAAGGGGCCTTAGGTTGCGATTGCAGAAGTCAGCGTGGTCGCAGCAGGCGACCACGAATTCCACGTCACCTGGACCGCTTAGCGAGTTATTCATGTTGCACCAGACCGAGTAATCGGGCCCCGGGAAGAAGTGTGTCTTATTGTAACACCTGAGAACAATTTACATAACTTCCGGACCAGAATATTCACAGTGTGTACCTCCGGACGAATAAAGAAACAATCGTATAACAACACGCGCGCGCCTTTCTCGTTAACCCTTTACATTACGTTTTTCCCACTTTGTTCTTTTCCTTCACTTATTATCTTCACGTTTCGTACTTTATTTCCGGGTTACTTTAGTTTCTTTTCTTTAAATTAAACAAAAGGGAGATGTGTCTCGGGGAATTTTCTTTTCCAACGGTACCTTGTTGTCACGTGGTCATTTCCATTCCTCGTTTCCTCTTTTCCTTTCTTTCTCGAGCGAGATCAATTATGCTTAATCAAGAACCAACGTCATCCTGCGCGCGCGCGCGCGCGCGTGTACGAGCATTGTAAATAAATTACATACGCGGGCCGCAGCTGGTCGGCACTTTTTCTCTTCCTACTCCCTTTTCTTTTTCTTTTCGGAACGCCTTTTTTTCCTTCCTCTTTCTCCTCAACTTTGTTGGCCGCGTGATAAATTACTCTTATTACGAGGTTATAAATTCGCAGAGGGCATACACCAGCGGCCGAACATAACAGCCAGCCGAGATAAGTTCGGGAATTAATCATTAATAACTCGCGATCGGTAATAATTCACCTGCTTCTTTCTGTTTTTTTTTTTATTATTCTTCTTTTCTTCGAGGCCAATTTCGCCGTTAAAGCGCCGTGTTACAACGTCGTTATCTCGGGCTCTTTAGGAAAACGTGTTATTGCGTCTCGAGTATTCTACGTTTTCTACTTCTGGATATAGTCGTTCGAGCAGGAAACTGTGCTACTTATCCGGCGATTTTTCATAAAATCTCTGCTTTATCGAACGAAGTTGCTGATCCGTGTAAAAACTAGAACATTTCCATCGGCATTTAAGCAACCGGCTATAGATTATATTCGAGAAACGCGCCAGCAGACAGGGCTCTTGAAAAGATACGATCGTAAGATCACGCTTTTAATGCGCAATTCGTTTGAAAATATCTACATTGTAGTTACACTTCAGCAGAAAACCGCGAGACTTTGAACTGTTTAAACAGTTTTCTGCTGACTCGACGAATCGTTGAATGCAACTATGTTTCCATTAAACGTGCGTGCAACAACAAGATACCGTTCGAAGTGTGAAACATTTAGACGATCTTTGAGACGAAAAAGACACATAAAAGTTCGAATCCTTCGTACAGATACTATAATTAATCGGCGTAGATAAAGTTTTCAGTCCCTGAGGGAAATAACGGGCACAGCGGAACCCCGTATAACGCGATAAAGAGAAAAGAAACAGGCATAACATTTGCAACTGAAGAGCATGAAAATTCTGAAGCTGAAGAAACTGTGGTCAGCGTCGAAAAAAAGCATCGAAATCTCGGTGAAACTTAATTTCAAGCGATTCTTCGAGTGCTCAGATTCTAGTTTCACCTTCCTTTATCTTCGCTTTAAATTATTCCATACCTACGCATGATAAAGAAAATTTTACTTCTTCGTTATTTTAAAATGAAATTAAGAAAGAACAAAATTTCACAGAGATTTTAATTCTAATTTTTTTGCGAATATTTTACTTGAATTCTGATAAAAATTTCAAACATTTTTTCAAATTCTCCCGCGTCACAAAGGGTCCCGCTGTACACGCGAAAGTACATAATGTATGTATGTGTACAAGAGTTTTACAAGCTGCGAGGGAGAGGCAAGTTAAGATCAATTCTCCGTCGGCAAGATCCAAGACTAACGGAGAATTAATTCGGTTCAGTTTACCGAAGTTCGTTACATTTCCTGTCGCTCTCGCGGAATATCTTCAGCGGAACAACGGAAGAATTCGCGAGACAGCAGGTGAACTACAATCCTCTGGAAAGAGATCATTATATTGGCAGGACGTGCAGAAATTGTGAAACAATAATAATAATAATAATAAACAGTTAATCAACTACGGTTACTTGTTGAAGGAAGAGAATGGCGAAGCGTGGGTGCAAGATGTTATCGAGAGAAGATTAGAACGGACATTTTTGCAACATAGAGAAAGGAATAATACGAGTCAGCTGATTTTCAGCGAGTAAATAAATTAATACAATTACAATAGCTGATCAAGCGTCGTTCGATGATTGCTGCTCGTCGAACGAGTTAACGCAACGTCGAAGCGTTTAACCGTTAAACGATGTTCAAATGCAAAATAGTTCCGCAGAAACTGGACGTAATTGTCGTCACCGATGCGTTTCCTCATCGATCGAATGTGACATATTCTTGAGTTCTACACTTTTTGCACATCTTACACCGACCCTTCGAACGTTCGAACAATTATCGACGATAATGAACGATAAGAAGATAAGTGTGGACGTGAATAAAGTCTACTGGATTCTAATGAGAGAGAGAGAGAGAAAAGGATGTCAAATTGAAGGAACACCGAGAGAAAGCCCCAAACGGAACTATACATAGTCTATAGGATTTCTACTACGTTTCCTTCTTTTTTTTTTAGTTTTTTTTTTTTTTTGTTTATTAGAAGAGATACTGCGAGAGAAAATATTTACAAGAGATGTCCTTTTTTTTTTGTACAAGGAGACATGTTTACCAGTGTCACTACTCTACGTGTCTACTTTCGTTAAAGAGTGCAGAGAGGAGAGATAGAGAGAGAGAGAGAGATATGGCAACATGCTACCGGCGCTTTCCAAGCTCGCTCAGGAGGACTTCCGGTTCCCTCGAGCACTTGTAAGCAAAAATATACAAGGAGGAGAGTACCTTGAAGTAACTAGAAGCTCCATAGGTGACAAACATTTTCACACTGTTTCTTTCATCTCGAGCATCTATCATCGTTACGTCACTCTTTATCATACGTTTGCCGAAAAAAGAAACGCTCTTACGTTCGAATAATTACGGTGCGAGATAATTGGAAAAAAAAATTGTTACAAAAAGAGAGAGAGAGAGAGAGAGAGAGAGAGAGAAATTATGAAAAATTTACTAGAAATTTATCGGCTGTGCTGCGATAAATATCGCGGAGCGATAATAAGAAAAAGAGAGAGAAAAGGGAAACAACCGATCGATAAACCTGCAAGTGTTGAATCCTGATCGTAAATTCTGATCAGAAAAGACAGATCCTACATGAAGTTTATCCGTATCAACGGTATCAGGTGGAATATCCATCGGGAATGATAAACGCAGCGGACAAAGTAAGTGTCGAGGTTCCGGACGCTCGGGAACGGAAGTGAGCGTGTCGCGTAAACGCAGATTCGCGCGCTACGAATGAAAATTTCCGTGCCCATGGAGTGGGCATCGCAACGCGAAAGGGAGGTACGAGGTGACACGGTCCAGTATATCGTGTTTTATCGGCCACGTCGAACGCGCACAGTGAGGAAGCGGAATGAGAAACAGAGAAAGGCGGATCCGAGTGCAAGTAGTGCATTATGCACGGTATACCGGGTGTCCCACATATTTTGCATTCTGTGATTAAACATCCGACGAGAATTTCATTGGAAAAACACTGTCGCCTTATTTTTAATCGCAGAACACGCTGGCAAACTTTATTAGGAGAATTTACGAGACAGTATATACAAGGTTAGGTGTTCCATTAACTCTTTGCACTCTGAGCATTTTTTATACCCACACCTACAAGAATTATTTCGAAAAAAGAAACAAACTTTTACATGTATAATTACTACTTTATTTCAACAAAAGTCACTACACCTAATCATTTCCGAATTTGAAATTGAGAAATTTGAAATTTGCCACTTCGCTGGGCTTGGTTATTCCACTGTTAACCATTTGCACTCGAATGTCGACTGAGAAGCGACATTATTTTTTACTATTTGGCAAATAATTAAAATAAATGAAAAAGGAATTTGTTATGATTAAAATATATATTTGTCAATATACACATGGTATAATTTATTTCTGTGTTAGCTTTAAACGATTTCATCCATTTTTTCAACAAATACGAAATATCAATTTTGAAGGTAACAGGCTATAGTGAAAAGATCCTCGAGTGCAAAGGGTTAAACTTCTCCATGGTAATTAATTCGCCAATGAAGTTACGTTGCATATTACCTTGCCAGTGGAGTACAAAGGGTTAATTTCATATCTACCTTAAGGATCTCCGTTATTTCAAAATTATATTACTCGTACGATAACATTGTAACACCGTAATTCATCCATTCTCGTCAAGATATAAAAGAAGAATTTCCCTCGTAGAAAGTATATCGAAGATACTGAAAATAGTACGGAACTAACAGGACACCGCGTACAGCGTGCATTGGCGCAGGCCACCGCACACGGGCCAGAGCGCGTACACGCGCGCGTAACATCCTGACGTCGCGTAAAATGTATATTTATATGCGTGTATATCTGGACACAGATAATAGTTGAAACAGAAAGAGATAGACGGCGCGTGTATATGAGAGAGATAGAGGAAGATAGAGCACAAGATAGACAGCCGCAGAGCGTGTGTCAGCAGGTTGGCGTTGACAATGTGCGCACGAGATAGAGAGAAAGAGAGACGTACTACCATTAAACTTACGGAGGCCGGTGACACAATGCACAATTCTGCATAGAAATAGAAATAATAATAACAACAATGAAAAAAAAAAAAAAAGAAAAGTACGACAGAGAGATATAAAAAAAAAAAGATGGTTACGATCAGCGGATGTATTGACACAATAAATAATGTATACATGGTGTGTGTATATGTATATATATATATAAATAAACAAAATATGTACAACGAAATAAATAATAATAATAATACGAGAGCGGTTACATCGTTAACGTTCATTCTTGCTGCTACTGCTACTACTGCTGCTGCTGCTGATGCTGATGCTGCTGCACACATATAATATAATACCTGCAGCGTGTATCGGTTGGAAAACGTGAGAGCAAGAGGAAGACAGAGAGAGACTGAATAGAGCACGAGCTATGATGCGATAGAGCCCAGCTGAGAAGGGCTCTGAGCGGTTCGCGTAGCCAGCGAAGAATAATTGCGTCGGGATTGACTCGGAATTGATAGAGA